TGTGGTCGTACCACTCCCAGTCTTACCGATTATATCATGTTGAAATGTTTAATGGAGACAGATTTGCTCATACGTTCCTCGATGTGTGGCTGTAGCAATCATCCAAATATTATTAAAGAAATAAAGTCACGAGACAAATTATTTTTGATGCCAGGCTCACTAAAATAATAAATCATTAGAAACTAGCTAATTTTTTTCAATCTTTCTAAATCACGCAGAGGCAAGTTAAGCTCATTTTCGTCTAGTGGACCTCGGAACTACCAGTATCGCAAGCAACTATCGTGATTGATGTAGCAAAAGTTTCAGCGATGCAGCCGAGATATTTGTTTCGAGATGCGAAAGAACTATAATTTATCTTTCAGGTGTAAATGAATTAAACCGTTGTTCGACTGAAAAAAATATTGCAAGGGCGAAGTGTATTAATGGATTGTGACAGCCTGCCGATCAGTCACCGTGTAGAACCTAGTACATGCGTACAGCGGCTCAATTCGCCATGGACCGTTAGCATAGAGAGATGAAATTGTCAGGCCAAATCCCAAAATATTAGGGGCATTATAGGTATTAATGTTGATTGAAAGGGTTAGACATCGAAAATACAACTTGAAAAGAAAGTATAAATTGATAAAACGGAAACTCGAAAAAAGGTTATAACTTTGTGGATAGTAGTTTTCTGAGTTCTAGTAGTAGATTTTTGGAATCTGAGATGAAACTATGGAAAAGGGGTATTTTCATCATGCTAGCATCAGGGAGGCTTTAGCTCGTCTGCCAGTCATTAGACAGCATTCACAACCAGGGACAACGGTTTATGCGGACGAGTGGAGAAGGGACTGGTGTTTTCAAAAACATAAAAGGCTCATCGCGAGGTCGTATGGGAGCGGTATTTTACAGACTCAAAAACTGGTGTTCACACTGACAAAATAGAATCTAACTGGTATAGACTGAAAAGATTCATGGAAAATCTACAGATAAAAAGAAATGGAACTATATGGATGAGTTTACATACCCGTTATATCATGCGATTGCATCGAAAATCCCCCGAGAACGTAAAATAGTTTATCATTCATCAAACAACTATGTATGCACTGTGATCTATCCGATTATTTTAAAATAAATTATTCCTATATATCAACAGTATTCTCATGGTCGCTCAAGGTCAGTAGTATACTATACCTTCATCCTTTTCCGTTTTGCTGAAATTACTCCATCAGTCTGTAGGATTGTGGTATAACTCGGTGTTAGTACACTTATCTCGGCTACTACATTATTAGACCCAACCCCAAAATTATAGACTTGTCATGATGTAACAACCCAATCTATAAGATGTTATGTGAAAGTCACATCATAGTCTATATTGACTCATCTCATCACGATAATCAGCAATACTATGTTTAGCGTTTCTAAGGAACATATTTGTGCCAGAGATATGTTGATATATTTAATGAGAATAGGGATAAGCTACATAGAATGACCACACCTGCAAACCTGGGCCATGACACACAAGTCATTTGTTCCCGCGTTTCCTATATTGATTCCCTCTAAATGCTTTGTGCTAGATGTAAATCTTAACAGTAATTGTATACTCGGCTCTAGTGATCATGTGGTAAGAAAAAAAGAATAATCACTTAACCATAGTTATAGTAGAGGGCCATCACTTTTCCTTTACCGGAGGGGCATCAGAGATAGAAATGGCTGTTTTGATGTAGTTGTATGCTTAAAAACAAACATAAACGAATACTGTGGTGGGGTTCATGGAAAAATTCAGAGGTCGTTTACATATTTGCAAAACTCGTATTGCATGCAAATAAACCGAAAAAGGAATGAAGATGGCTTACGTGTAATAAGGAAGCCCAGCCATGATTTATCGTGTGAGGAAACAGCGAATACAAAGCGTGTAGTAAACATTAGTAAAAATGGCAACCACCAATGAAACCAATATTTAGAAGCTGAGGAAACCGTGGTAGTTACATAAAATTCTGATTCAGAAAGCCTATCTAGCATTAAGTGATACGTTACATACGACAAATTATCTAGTTAGGACATTGACTAAGATTGTTCGTGTACATGAAGTACATTTTTTCACAGTGTGTCGACTTACCAGTCATAAATGTACATGATTTCAACTAAACCATAACGGCAGTGACAGAACATACGGCTACTCTACGTGAAAGTAACTACCAAACGTTATTAGGCATCATAAACATAGAACGAAAATATCTAACACAATTATGAATCTCGCCTGGATTACACTCGCTTCCAAGTAATGAAAATTTGAAGTATACAGTAGTTTCATACAATAGAGATCAAGGGAAATTCGGATTACATACGACGTATTATTAGTTAAATAATTGGTATAGCACAGAGTTGGAGACCTGACATTAGAGGTTCAAAATTAATTTCGGTCACATGTATAACATTTATTGAAACTAAGATGTAGAAGAAATCTAAGATCACGGAAAATATAAAGTTCAAAATCACCGTGAAATTCTAGCATTTGTCTCGTTTATACAAGTGGAAAAGTTACAAACACATGTGTGTTTGTGTTGCTTTGTGGGTATACATACGAGTGGTTGATATTTTTGCAGACATATTGCACAGGAGCATTTACAAGCTGCTAATGCCTGTTAAACAACCACGATAGCCGACTATAGTTGATCAGCTCTATCGATTGAACCAATTAATTTAGTTTCAATACGAATCAATATTGGTATGAAGCAATGAATGTTTGCAGTAATTGATTAACATAGACGACGAGAAAAATGAAAAACAATAAGTATACAACGCAATAATAAAGATTATAATTATAGGTTACGTTATTCAAAGTCTTGCTCACCAGTGTAGATCATCAACGTCGATTATTCCTGTCGAATTATTGGGAGTTAGACGGGAATGGTGTGACGAACCAGTTAACTTCGAAGTCACACCTCGCTATCAGCACCTAATTTTGATTACCCCGTCGACGTATCAAAGTACTATGGCTGCTTTGAAGACCGTATAACACAAAGGACGCTATTACGGAAATATATTAGTAAGAATGAGTACAGAGAAGATAATATGGCCACCACCTCGTGGGCCTGTCCATGGCATACGATTAACCGATGCGCATCGGTTGATCCTTGATCTTAATGGAAATCGATTATCTGTTCGATATTCAGTGGCCCGACTGCCGGATAATTCGTCTGTGTTCCAGTGACATGTACTCGAGAATTCATTTTCATTGGTCTTTCCAACTTCCGTGAATTTCACATGCTTCATTTGCGTCTCACGTGCAAGTGGCTTATTGGAAGAAGTCATAAAGTTTCCTGCAATGTACACATTAGAATTTGGTGAGCTGTAGTTGGTGGAGGCGCACATACAAACGGCGAATTCTTGTTGTTCCAGCTATACAGAATATCTGTTGGTTACTTTTGACATTGACCTGTTCCAAACTTTCTTCACTGGTATCTAAACGTAATGCACCAAAAATGACCATGAGCATTCCTAGATAGACGAAGGGTACATTTTGTTTATTCTTCGTATTAGCTAGATAAGTGTATGCGAATGATCATGCTTAGATTTTGTATTAAATCTCCGGAGGTGGTGTACATCAGTCATACGAGATTTTGGAGAATTAGTTGGTATGACAAGTTTCATGGCCTATCAAGCTTTCTGAATATGAAAGTCTACAATTTTTGGTTCGGAGAGTAACCTCAGTAGGCCAGAAATAACATTTTGTGGACATTAACTGACAAAAGTGGTGACACGTGTGGAAGTTGAAGCTAGGTAAGCAACTGATTTCGGTAACAGAATAACTACTTGAAAGTAGAAAATATATCTTACTACGAACAAAATAAACTCCTTTGTTGTTGAAGACATATCAGTTTTTGTCCCTCTTTAGTTCCTTATACTGTTAAGGAATATTTCTATCAGAAGGACTTGATAACTGGATTGATTCAGCAATGGTCACGACGATTCCAGAGTTCAGAGAATATATTTTTGAAAGCGTCCACACATGGTCCTACTGCGGAGAATCGTTGATGTATTGAGTTCACAACTTTCAGGCTTTACACACAGATATGAAGATCCATGGAACAAGCCGTGTGATATTCTCAGGATCGAAGTTTTAAGCTAACTTAACAGTTAACCTGAGTAATCATTCAACCGACTTACAGAAATTTACGATTCTATTTGTGACATACGCATCGATGATTCATAGAGTAAGGACCAAATACTATTCCCGAGACAGCATTAGAATGAGGACTCAGAGTTTAAGATCTAAAATTCCCATTCGGCATTAGGAACTCGGGCTCAGGTTGCAGTCAAAATTAAGTGTTTGGTTCAAGGTTTTTATTTAGACTTGACTGGCAGGTCCAGTAATATAAATCTACTGGTCGACTCATATATTTGAACTCTCTCATTGGAGCACACTCATTAGGTGAATGTCCGTTCCAAAGATTTGATAGAGTTGACGGTTGAATCGTGTGCTGCAACACAAACATCGCTAATAATACTTGATGTCTTATGGAAGTGCTGGACGACCATATGTGGGAAAGTACGTAATCCATTAAAGTTTGCTTCACTTTATTTGATCAGTTTTTAGCAACAAGTGGATTGGCGAAGAGCTCAATAATTGGATTCTTCGTATTGCTCATTTATGATCTGCATGGTGTTGAAGATTGTCATGCACTAGTATATCCAGGCGATTTCAAGATTTGGGTAGAAGTTGAGTGTAGCTATATCTAAACTTTTAAAGATATATATATATATATATATGGATGGCCATGAACTTTTTTTCCTAATACGAACAAATACATGATGCTAATGGTGAATAGAAACGCCACATTCACGATCTGCTTCTCGAGTTCAGTACCACACGGTCTAGGAAAGAGAAAGACCTGCACATCACCTTATGCAACACTCTGGATGTCTCTCCCATTAGCATTTTACAACGAATAATACATACCCGTTTTTTTCAAAAAAAGTTAAGTAGCACGACCGTGATGCGTAATGTCACTCACAGTCCGTTTCACCACAATATATACTCAATAAGAAACACTAAGCGACTGAAAAAGAATTCATGGTGTCTAAAGACGCCGGTAATGTTTGCCATACTGCAAAGTTAATTACAATAATCTGCTAAATCTACTTTCTTCCCATTCAAAGATTTCTAAGTGTACCACAGACTTTGCTACAATACTTTTTAGTGGGCATTGAATACTGTCTAGTGCTTGTTTGTTTGAAGCGGCGGGTAGGAAAACATCGCTAGTCATTTGTCACGTTTGAGATGGCTCCGACTGCGAAGTCAGCAACGGGATGTAAAAAAGCTGTACTGTATACTTTTGTCTTATGTTGGTGTTTTTTTTTAGAAAGCTTTGGAATCCATTAATAGTTGCTTAGCTCTGGTGATGAAAAGTGGGAAATGTTCTATTGGATTACGGCAAACACTTCGTCTTTTACGTAAGGGTGGAGCAAGATTGATAATTATTGCCAACAATGCTCCGCCGTTAAGGTATGTTGGTTTGATTCTGTCTGAGCCCAGTAAGGGTTACGAAGACATAAGATAATATTTCTATTAGTTAGATATTATTAACGGAGTATGTTATTAAATCATGTTTAGGAAAACTGAAATAGAATACTATGCGATGTTGTCAAAGACTGGAGTTCATCACTACAACGGAACCAACCGCGATCTTGGGACTGCGTGTGGCAAATACTTCAGAGTGAGCACTCTAGCCATTGAAGATCCAGGTAAGATCGTCTTGAATCAGTATACAGTTTTTAAGGTGACTCCGACATCATCCGTTCTGCGCCACACGAGGCAGGGACAAAGTAATAACTCAATAAATCATTTTCTATGGATCTTATGTTTTTTCTCTCAAAATTGGTACTTTCTTGTTAATGGTGGGTGCTTGTTGAAGTATTCGCGGACGTGACGTGTTCAACGACAATTTTTAGGTACCATAGTTTGGCATCACAGATGTTTAGCCTGTAACCCTTTGTCTTCCTAAATTCCGTCGTTGTAGTTTCTATTTTATCAAAATTTGGCAAGTTTCCTGCCTAGCTATATCTCGTAATCATGTTAAGCTGTGCTTTACGAGTTTAAACCGTTTATGTGCAGGTAATTACATGAAACGAAACCTGTCTGGAACCAAGGTACTATAAGTCACTAGCGACCTAGCCTGTTGGAGTATGAGTGCAGCTGTGTGACCCACTAACTATTCTCCAGTTAGGTAGTTTTCTCATGTAGTCTGTAAACATGGCTGGCTCTCGAGTCAGAGCGGTTAATCAAATTAACTTTTCTTACACAACGGCGAAGTAGACGCAGAGTTGATTCCTAAGATTTTAAGATACAGACCTCTCAATGCACTTAGGGGGTGCGTTTTCTTATTGATGAGTTTGTTACATCACATAGGTGATGCGACCGCATTCAAGACGCTTGTTTGTACGGATGGTTTAATTACTTGGGTTATTGGTAGTATGTGGATGTCGTAATCCGGCCTTAGGCGTCTGACAAAAAACGCAGTATAGTTGTTTACTGTATATTATCTCGACTGACTGACTTCTTTAGGCAGCATATGAAGTCTGAATGATGTGCGACCAGACAACTTTCTGTGTTCTGCTCATTTTAATAGAATGTGTAGCACTTGACGTCACACTGGCAGGAAATGTACACGGTCTTCACAACGGCACTGTTTATGATTCTGTGCGCCTATATTAGGCTTTCGTTTAGCGTCTAAATGTCTTATTGTGACGCAATTACGGCTTCCTTACGTCCCCAAACTATTTTCGTTATCGTGAACTGAAATCTTTTTATCGGCGGCGTTGTCACAGAACGATTTTTGATTATGTGCTCTTAATATGAAATTATTAAGGTAGAACTACCTTACTACTGTAGCCAGCTTGTTCTAAGTTTATTAGGATGTGTACATGCTAACGCTTTCAAAAATAGAAAATTCATTTAAAATCAAAACAAGCGTACAGTTGACATTAGGAAAAGTTGTTAATGTTTAGTTTGATTTTATAAATTTAAAGAGAAGCGTACTGAATGAAGAAAGGAAGTTAGTACATATTATAAGTAAATAACGCTGGACAAATTCACGTATATAAAAGTGCCTTCGAAGTACAGTAGCCAAAGTAAAGTACCAAGTCTGTATAGCTCTTACATTATGCGATAAAAACCATCCAAGATTATGTTTAATTTGTATAACACGGACAAATTTGATAACGTTCCCGATTTAAGGCCAAAGAACTGTTTAGGGTTGTGTACATCTGGATCTCAGAATAAAGGTGCTAGGAAAGCTCCGTTAGCGCGGACGTACATTGGTATGTCTCCAGACTTCAATGTCACTAACTGGCAGTACTACCACTAACTTTAAACGCAGGTGACTTTAGATTTAAGCTTTGAGGTAGTGTTTGAACTCCGAAACATTCTAAATGATAGTTTGAGTTTCCTGAGACGACTCGACGTGCTTCTTGACATCCAGCATCTGGTACGATCGGCCTTCCACATGATGCACATCTTGGTGCATAGCGTTTATGAAAATCTGTTAGACAGTGTAGTCGACCATGAACATCAATGGTAAAAGGTCGGGAATCTAGTCTACCTGCGCATACTACACAGACGAAGCAGTTAGGATGATAGGGCATCCCAAGCGCGTGAACTACTCTGTCACCTATGGGTCTATGACAATTTGAACATGCTTCTACAGCCCCGTCACGTACACAAGCTGGGCATAACAGACGCCTGAGATTGTGATAGTAAGCATCTGACTTCAGTGGAGCAGCGCAACGATAGCATGTAAAACAAGCCACATGAAGTTTTACACCTAAAGCGCCTGTTAGAGTCACAACATTGTTTGTCGAATTTAAACTGCCACTAAGTGTGGTACCTTCCGGAGGAAAGAGTGAGCGACGACATCGGAAACATATGTTCTGACCAACAGTTGCATTAGTCACTGCACTGGTAGTATCACCAGAATTACATATACTAGAAGCTGATTCAGTGGGAGAGTTTGTTGATGAGCTCCCAGTTGTTGAAGTAGAAGTGATCACTGTTGCCGATGGACTACCTCGACCACCATTCACAGTCCCTCCAGCACCGGAACTCAGGCCTGAGTGCTGTTGCAAACGTCCAAACTGAGAATTGAGACCACTCCCACGCCGTAAACTCCCAGCTGTTAAGGGGGACAGGAAAAATGCATGTAAGTTATTTTACAAACAACATACGAATCGAAATACCTAGAAGGCTACGTCATGAGGACTGTTATGTTCGAGATTTCAAAATCAATATAATACCAACATTTTGATCAGTCAACACTAAGGCTGTCAATTTTCCCTACATTTGCAGATAGATTAGCCGTTTTCATATAGGATTTTATCTTAGTAGGCAATCTCGATTAGTGAGAAATGACCACCATCATTCTAGCACTTCAAATTTGCAAAAAATGTCCGTAAACATTAAGCTTGAGTTTTGTGCTTGCCTCTAATCGTGAGAACGAGCATACACACCTTATCTATCTATGGTATCTAGATACCATGCAGAGCGTTTTTTTCAGTTGACATTCATTCTATATCTTTTCTGTTGGGAAAAGTGGAGATCACTGGGGTGAAAAAACAAAAACCATATAGTTCATAATTTAAGCACCTGGTCACAAGATTTCGATCTCAGATTAGTGTGCACTGATATACAGACACATGCACTTTACTGATGAGTCCCAACAGACATGAAATCCTGGTTCAACCCTTACGACTAATTACCTGATAGTGTGAGCTACTAATTACTGGGTCCCAAATTGTTTTGCTACGTTTCTTTTCTGCTAAAAATATAACTTTAAAAAATACTCTATCGTTAAGGAAGAAGTAAGAATCGCTTTGATTACTATTGAAAGTCATATTGGAATTTTGCATCAAATAGTGAATCTACTCTGGGCTTCTACCTAACTACTATTACATGACTCAAAACCTTTGTCTTTTAGAATTTTCAGAAATCCAATTTTGTTAACATTTTAATTGTCAGTTCTAACCGTAGGTAACTTGCTTACTAATCTTATTTCTAGTGCAACCTTCCTGTTAATTGCATACTGATTTCACAGCTAACAAAAGCATCTACGTTTATAGTCAATTCCTGTTCTTAGTGTTATGTAGCTACCTGTAACAATTAGGTGATTACAACATATCACCTTGGTTTTAATTTTTTAAAAGTCGTGTAAATAACTGGTAATTATATTGCTGAACTGACTAACCACCATCCAATTGGTATCGAATTTCTACTCATTTGTAAAACATATGTATTAGTGTAAAGCCCTTACAGAGAACTAGTTTAAAAGAAATATCTCTTCGTCCGACCTGTGTTTTAGATTACTAAGCAGTAAGAGTAAGATATCTAAATGTATGCAAATATTATACTGTTTGGTAAACTTAATCGTATAATCATGGTGGAAAACATTACAAAATATGATTTACAAAAGTCAAAAGGATCCAAAATGCTTATCTGTTTAGTTGAGACATAAGGTCTTTTACATCATCAAATAATCGAAATGCTATGGGATTTAGTCAAATTCCGAAGCTTCGAAAATGTGCCATTTGGTTAAACAGTATTATTTTCCTTAATGAACAAACAGAAGATTTATATTCCCTATGAACAATATGGAAGATATAGGTTAGTTGCTTTTTGCTGCTGATTTTGAATACTCATATAACGAACCACTAAGAAATTAAGACTGTGGAACATATATTTTCTGTTTCAAACTAACTAGTAGCCCTAACTCCAGACTTAATAAATTCAATTTTTCAAAAAATGTGATTTAAAAGAAATTCACTACATGCTGTTTATTCACTTCAAAGAGTGGTGAGTTTTAAAATATCCATAGAGTGCGTCCGTGACAAATTCAAGTGCTAGTGAATGGTCGCAGATAAATTTAGAATTGTCTCATATATATCGATGATGTATTAAATATGAAACAAACCACTAGTAATTGTACTGAGTGCTATATGGCGTGCGGTCATCGCGTTTGTTTTGGTTAGGAATCGGAGGTGCATGATGACAAAAAGACAACAGTAAGATTTTCTTCCAATTTATGGCATATCAGGTGTAGGTGAAGTTATTTATAATAAAATACCCACGAAAAGGTCGTGTGTGACCGACCTCAAGCAGTTGTCCCTTGGGCACTGCGGTCATGCTCTCGGGTCATTAAGACCACTTCTAACCCAATTTCATTTTCAGGTACCTCTAGAAGAATCCTTCCACGGTGTGGGCAGCCGAGAAGTGTTAACTGCCTTCATACCTCTAACAGCACTTAAGATCACTGTATTCATAATCAATCTCCTTCTTCACTTCCCAATATTCCTTTTTACCTCAATTTTCAACACTAAACTTCCTCTTTCAGCTTGCTCCTCAAGTGTCACCATAGCCAACGCTACTAGTGCGCGAAACATTGTCTCAGGTCTACTAAAACCTGACTCCAAACTACACATTGTAGCCTTCAACGTACGTACCTATGCAAATGAATCGCAACTCCATGATTGATATGAAAAGATTATCATCAACTATTGTGTTTCCTAACGTTGATATAGAAGTTTTCAATGGCCAAATACGCCTAAGTAGGTATCTTGGATTGAGAGTTTATGGAAGGAATACAATAAATAGATTGTTTACATACGGAAAAAGCTAACCTGGAGAAGAATTGACTCCGTCTGGCCCGGAAGTTGATGTCCCACCAGCTCCAGCTGAAGATACAGACGACCGAGTTTCCATACTTTGCATTAAGAGATTTGTTAAAGCATCAACTTCAGCTTCAGGATCTGAAAGTGGTGGTGCGGGTCGATTTATTGGCCGATTACCAGCAGTAAGGACTGATGAAGTTCTAAATGTAGAAGATTTAGTACTTTCACCGTTATCAGTTTGTAGAGCATTTGGTGTGTTATCTAGATTTTCAGAAGAATGAGAAGCCATAGTGTATGAACTTGATGAAATGGATCCTCTAGAGGCACCTAAATGAACAACTGGTATTACAATCGACTGACCAATAGTGCTTGAGCTACTCCCCTGCGATGATCGCCCAAGAGTCCCGGGTTTGTACCAGTATACATTATCACGCTCCGAAGAACTTTTCATTGGATATAGTTGTGATGCCTTTATGGACGCAAATTTATAATATGGAAGTTCAATTTAATATCAAGTCAAACAACTTGCTTCATGCTGATTAAAAAATCAATATTATTATTAGTCAGTTTTTGTGAATTCATTAGATTAAAAATATATAGCTGCATAGTAGTTCAATATAACGGATGAATGTCAATGTCATTCAATCATTATTCTATCTCAAACCATTTGAAACTACATCTTGTTCTTTTGATGTCTTTTATTTTTTCAATTGGGAGTTATATGGGGAATCTGAACATCTGGTATTAAATAGTTAATATCATCATTCAATTCTAAATACCATGATACTTGAACACCGAAGAAAAACCTGATGAGGACCTCAATGTCATCACTTCTTTGTCTACTGGTTACTAAAATTTGATTGTAGATCATTACATATTAATAAATGTCAAAATCTTACCAAATCCTGTGGTCCTCATGGAATCAAAAATTTACTTATCGCTTACTAATAAATCAAACGACCAACATTTGCCATTAAGCAATGCCTTTAAATTGAGACATACAGAATGACTGATTGTAGTGCTTTACTTGTTTTCCTATAAGTCTTGAGAATGTTAGCTCTTTACAGTTTGGCTTAGTCGTAGAGTTAAATGACAAATTTCAAATCAGCAAGGACACTAAGTTATCAAAAAATCCTTAAACAGTTTGACATTAATATCAATATTAAGACTTATTTATAAATCAATCTCACTTGAGCATAGTGTGGAGCATCTATTGATGAAATAGGAACAACAGGGTGACGATATCGTCGTTCACTCTGTGTTCCTGGCATCCTCGGTCCCGCCCGCTCATTGAAAACACTGTCCAATCTGTACAGGCTATTTCCAGAACCGAATGAATGGTGAGACATTATCAACTATTATGATGAAATTAGAGGAATAACATTATTGTTTACCAAAATTAGGCCAACATCAACTACACCAGTATACCTGTTCCTGATTGGCCAAAATGGCTCATAGCGGTCGATAGCAGAAACTAAACCTCTAAAATGAATCCGATTGGTCAATAATCGAATGGCCTTGTGGTATTGATCGGTGTGGTTTGTATTTGTGTGGATCTGACACGTACATGTGCAGTTGTCAGCACAAATAATTTGCAAATCAATAATACCCACCAACTATGCAGAGAAAAATATATAGTGGAAATCAGTCGAGACTTTATGCAGATAAAACCTCACTTTCATTTGTATTGGTTGTTTGAATGGTGACTTTGGATTTTAGGTTTGCAATCTTATGGTACACATTCATCCTGTGCACATTATCTCAATATTGCCTTTAGGTCACAAGCGTTATAAGCAGTGATGGATGGCAGTAGATTCAAGAACGCGCATTTCATCCCATTTTATGACTCGTCAGCTTGGTTTACCTTCATACTTCACCTTCCGTCTTTGTTTAATTAATAGACTGGTTACTAAAAAGCAAACAAAGTGCTTCATCCTAATATTATAAAAGCGGATGTCGCAGTGAATCAGACCTAATTACATAAACGAAATTATTTCATTTGAGATCTTTAGATTGCTTAATTCACTGAACGGAAGACGTTTTATAGTATCGTCTTCTAATGGTAAGAACTAAGAGCTTCATAACTAATGAATAATTTATTTATTAAGTTGGGCAAATGATTATTGATTAATTATATGTCATTTAATAATTAATTCAATTATACTGTCTTCGTCGAATATTTTTCATAAAAACGCTACCTTTAATTTCCTTAGTAATTTACTGAAAGTTCTAATAATCTTGTTTTCGAAAAAAAGATATGAATCATAAAACTGGTTTTAAAGTTAAATTAGATGCTTTCGTTTATGTCATTAACAAGAAGCTTGACCAGCAGAGTAAAACTACTGTATGACATTACCTCTTTCAGCAGACAAATTGGTTTGTTTGTATTAAAAATAACATTCGTAACTTCCCAGAGAGTACAAAGATTTTAACCAGTGGCTGGAAAGAGGCAGTAATTGATCCTAAAGAAAGTTCAACAGTCGGGTACTTGAACACGAGTTATCTTATCAAACCAGACCTATCAGTCAAAGTCATATACAAGGTGAGTAGGAACTTAGTAAGATAGTAGGGATCTGTTTTCTCGTTCACATTAATGAAGCTTCCGATTACATATGGAGGAGCCAGATCTATGTATACAAAGGAAAAGTAATCAACCTTTTCTCCCGTCATGGAGATAACACTGGCAATAGAACTTCCAGCAATTGTGTTGTAGTGACATAAATCCAGAACTGCATTATGTTGAAATGAATAAAATCTGTCCAATGTCGTTTAGTCAGCGTGTCTTTAATATTTATACGTTAATATAGCAATGAAATACGATAAACAAACAGAATAATAGACATGCAACCAAACAATGGAGTATTAAACGAAATCAGGTATAAGGCACTCAAATTAAGGATACTGAGAACAAGTTAACAAATAAAGTCAAATTATTGAACTTAATAATCACACGCTGTTTGGTATTGTATTACGAAACGAAATTATGTGAATGTAGCGTATAGGTATTAAATGCCAATATACATGTTAGAGTTTAATCCAAATAGGCACCAAATATTCATTGAATATTACAAATTAGCAAGCCTATTGTTAAGCAATCATCTTAGGCTTTACTTCCCCAATTAGTATTCTTTCCTACAAGCCTTGGAAATCAAGATAATAACTGTCACTGTACGATTTATTATATTTATATTGTCATGTTGAAAATAGAACATCTTGCACGACTAAGTATGGGTCCTTTGTGTTACAAATCCATACGCTGATCAAGACCCAATTCACCAAAATAAGTTCTTATCTTATTTATTTACCCTGCCTATACTATTTTCAGCTGTCGCTAGCTTCATACAGTTTACGCTCCGATTGCTAAGGTGACTCTTGAGTTTGAGGCCACGGATAACTTTAACCTATGTTAGTCCAAAACGTTCACACTTCCAGTCCAACCTTCTGTTCGACAAAACACACCGATAAGTAGTTCGGTTATTGGTTTATCAGACAAGAACACTCCGTAAGTATGAAATCATTACTTTACATACACTCATGTGATAAGTAGGAGTGAATGTAGAAGACGGTACATTTATTTAGCTAATAGATTCTACAATACGAACAAGCTATAAAAATTTCTTGCTTCCGAAGAACATAAATGTTATGCTTAAATGAGATGAAATATCGGCCGTGTTAACTTCACATTTTGCACTTTACGAAGGTAAGCCGAGGTACATAATTTTACCTTGATAATTTGTTTGATTCCACTTGTCACTATTTGAATGTGTAAAATTAAGACTATTTTCTGGTCGTACACTCTCACAGGTACCCTTTTAACGCTGACTTATGAACATCGGGACATTTCTGATCGTCATGATTTCGAAACAATAAAAACCTGGGTCCAAACCAGTGGTGCATATAAGCTCCAGTACCCGGAGGGAACAAAAGGCGTATGAATCTAACGTTGGTCACCGGCTACCATGAGACTGCATCTCTTATTGCTGCTTTACTGCCTTATGGTTAGACCTCTAGCTCGCGGGCTCGTAAAGTGACCCTAAGAACAATACCCGCTTTGGTCTGGGCAGTATTCTAGTCTTCACATAAATCGAATGACGAAGAATGGCGCATATACACATTGATGCCTTCTTATACCGATGTCTATGTTTAAATACATAATACATATCATTACCAATCATACTAGGAAGTCTTCAATATTTCGACTGACTACTTCAGGAAAAGCCAAGTTTATAGGGATAATCTACACCTAAAAGTGATCCTACCATTTAATTTTGACATTAAATAATTGCGGGAAAATCTGGTTAGACATTATGTGTTGCCACTAATTTTTCAGATGTAGCCTTACTAGTTTATTTCAAGCTCCCATTTCAGTCAGTAAACCTTACTACCTTTAGCAGTACGATAAGGTATGGATTGTACAGTTTACAATCATAGTTTTAAAAGGATCTGAGAATTTATTTTCCGTCAGTAATGTAGTGTTAATCAGTTCACCTACTTCAGGGTGAAATATATAAACGTGAATAAAGACCTATAAATAAATAACACACACTGAGTATTATATTAGCGATTTCGACTTCCTTAGATTTTAGGTTTAAAGTTACCTTAGATGATAACAAATATTGTAGTTACAGAAATAAACTCTATTTTCCATAAGTAGAATTCCTTATACAGAACGCGTGAGTGGACCGCAAAATACGTAAACAAGTAACCTTGGTTTCAGCTGAAACACCTGCTTCAATGAGGTGTGCCGGAATGAGTACTGAATAAGGAGGAAATATCTTATAAATAATAAGACACCGAAGTTACGGCAACTTGAATAACGAAACCCGACTGCCAAGTCCGCTAATGTTGAAGTGGGAAGGTATTGACAAAATGTGGCTACATCCCTTTTCCTGATATATCCGAAGCGATAGCTTCGAGTATTTGCCAAGCTATTAACCTTAGATAATTTTATGGTTTAGCAAGATGTGGAGAATAGATCACTTGGTTTTCTAAGAAACTGAGTGGAACATCGCCTTTTCTAAACATGTAGCTGATGCTCAACTGCGTAATAGTTGAGAAGACAGGCTTTTAGGTGTGACCTGAATCCATTCATTAAAGTATTGAGTTCAACATGCATACAGAAATCTACTGACTGAAGCTGCGCAAGATTATCAGCACTATATGAAAGCTCAGTAACAGCAACGCTAAAGATCGTAGATCTTGATGCTGCTGACTGGTTATAGGCTTTTGCAGTAACTCGAAATCTTCAGACTCTTATATTGTCGATTTACCTCGGAGTATTTCGAAGATCCAATATCAGCGTTCAATATTTTATTAATCCTTAGTGTCTTGTAACAGGCGCGAAGCATTTCAAATGATACATCGCACGAATAGTTCCGTGAACTAAGTTACTCCTAGTTCACTGGAAAAAGCACAAACTGTAGCATCCCAAAACCAAATATTTCTGGAACTCTCGGAATACTGTTGTATGAAAACCACGGATGAATAACGCCTACGACCGGTCTTTTTGATTGTCTATTTTTGCCCCATGAAAGAAGATTGTGTTAAGGGTAGCGATCACAACCCTTCGTTTGTCTCAACACAGGCTGTTCCCACACTGCTAACTAACGCGGAAACTCTTAGTTCTATGATAAGTATATGGTCGCTTCGCAGAGCATTTGAATGCTTCGACAAGGATGTTTCGAATTTTAAATCCCACCTATGTAAGGCCACATTTAGAATACTGTATCCAAGCAGCTAGTCCATATCTGATAAACGATACTAAATCGCTTGAGTGTGTAGGTACAAAAATAGTAAAGGGTCTTTCTAAACTCCCTTACGATGAGCGTTTAAAACGTCAAAACCTTTTCCCCTTATCTTATTGTAGGACACGAAGTCACCTTATACTGGCATTACGTATCTGTAATTATGATATGGGCGTTAATCTGTCTTATCTTTTTGCTCCCTCAAGCACTAATAACCTTCGAGGTCGTAGCAAGAAGGTTCACAAACGAGATTTAATAAATTAAAGGTGGGGTTCCTTTTTTTCCATCGGATGGTTAATGACTGGTACGCTTTACCAGAACAACTGGTATCAGCACTGTCAGTGAACATTTTCGAAAAGCTGGACCTTCAATGGAAGGAAATCTGTCAGGAATAACACAGGTTCATCAAACTACGATCCTTATTAGTGTAGACTGAGTTTTGGTGAATAACGATTCTACGTACAAGACCGTGTGTCAAGAACACTTTTACAGAGTCGCAGTGTACTCGGTTTGATACTATTCCTAGTGCTGACGGGTCGGGAGGTTCAATAGACAGACTTTACTAGCACTGTCCAATGTTTGGAAGGAATCGGTCACTATGGTGGGGACTTCAACAGTAATTAGGTCTTGGGAAAGCTATGGCGTTGAATAACCAACACAGATGTGTGTCTCAAAACAAGACACTGGAGTTTGTTGACAAATGCTGCGGAAGAAACAACACTTTCCTGAACCCTGCAGATCTTTATTTTCGGGATGCTGGATTATCGAATACTGGTTAGCACAAACCAACTCAGCAGTCCGCTAGAAAATCCACATCACCGCAAGTATCAAGTCCGTATGTTGGTAATACGTCCTCAACAGCGCGTTTCTTTTCTTCATCTCGTGTTAACGATGTGCGACGGCTACACATTGTGCTATGACACTAAAACGCTAGACATTTCAGAAACCCAATACTTGAGATATACAGCAAGTCTGCTTAGTGTACTGACGGATTTTACGTGCAAAGTGAAGGGATGTTTTTGAGAACCAAAACGTTAAATCAGACATTTGATCGAGACTTGACAATGAACGCTTTGAACCTAAACTTTATTACTTGGGCTGTTAGCGCATGTTCAGTATTACTCATTACAGGTGGCACATACTAGTGGCAAGGTATATCGACACAAGCAGCTCAATTCCATTACCTTTGTAGTAATCTACTAAGTCACTCAATGAAGCTGCCTTTTTCGCTTTTTTCCTTTGTGTTGGCCACAATTAGTTATTTAGAACTGACGCTAATATTACCTTAGAAATTAAACTTCGCAAAGCATGACGGTCAGTGAGTAGTACGACTACAATAGAAAATATAGGATATCTGCAACTGTGATTTCTTTTGGGCATGACCCACAATAAATCAAGCCTCTACTCGATAACGACTACACAGAAATAGACCTGCTTATATTGCTACAGCAGTCTAATTTATGACATATGAAACATTTGAAAACTGCAAGCGAGGAGATTATAAGGTTAGGGGTGCTCTACATCTGTAGATCTCATCACGCAAGGGCTTACAAAACTAGATATTTTCAAAGACACATGCCCACGAAAAACGACTGAAGAAATAATGAAGTCGAATGGTCCTCAGTAATCTTTATTAAACGCTTTGTATCCGGTTCTTTATGAGAACGTTCTTTCGCAAAAGTTTCTGAAAAATTAAGAATAATAAGAATAAGATGCTTACGGTGGTAACATGCCATCTCTGACCGCTAACATATTGATACAGTCATCTATTTCACCCTGCAAAACTTCGTAAAGAAAAGTGTACTTTACCATCGACCGGATAGATCCAGATAGATCATATGTCTTTTTACTCCCACCGATCATGCGTCCTGTAGTTGGGTCCAAATCAACAAACTGGATCTGGATCGAAGCATGATCTTTTGCACCAATTAGCCTGTTAGTAACAGCACACCTTCTCGGTATGTAAATGTCTACAAACTCTCCAGCCTCGTTCTGCATCGTGGTTGCTCGAATTTTGAATCTCGCGCTGTGAAGACGAACGTATTTGAAAGTACAATAGATTGAGGCAATAAACAATAATTTCCATCCACATTTTACTTGATCTGTGCCTTTTAGAATCTTGGTTGATAACTTCGTCGGCGTTTATTTATGTCATTAGTATATTTTTGTGCCAGTTCCTTTTCCAAAGCATTCACACGTTGGCCGACTATTTGATTAGAAAAGCTCTAAACCATAAGTACCTGTAAATATTTTGTTTACGGAAGGGTGAATAATTCTAAGGTAACCAAAGAGGTAAAACTTAATTACATTCAAGTCGTTCAAATTACCTGGTGCTGATATAAAATATGGTGGTGACTAGTCATAAATCTGACTCAGTAGTATTCCGCATATAGGGCCAGTAAAACCCAACTAAAACCTAAGCCAAATCATTCATTAAGATGAATGTTTTTCATACTAGGATACGGATCAATGATCTCCAGATAGCCTTTCTAACCTCGTGAGGGTCAAGAATGACTAGCAAAGACTAATCAGTTGCACGCCATCGACTAGCCAAAGCGGTGGTGGTCATACTCTATGTTTCTTCGACTTAGCGTTATCGACAGTTGTTTAACGATTTCATATTTGTTCTTTACGGCCCTCCAAAAAGCCACAGTGTCTAGATACCGCAAAATTTAATCCACATCAGATATAAACCACGAGTAGTGACTTTGACATGAAGTAAAAGGTAAAACCATTCCCATCCAGCTCGTGTAGACCGTTTCCATCTAAAAATATCACGTACACAGGCGGTCTACCCGCCCCGTAACAGTCCATGCAATTATTTTTATTAACCTGTCGTATCAGTCAACAATACTAAAAATATATACAGGCATTTGGTCTCCTCTAACTATATAGGACTGTCACAATATTCTCCAATTCTTTGTTGATAAATGTGGAACTGAAAACTTTTCGTTCTACTGATAGGACAGACTAGGGAGCCCTATTATCAAAGCGATGATTAATTCTGCTGAGGAATGATAATACCGATATCTTTTAGAAAAATTGATTCCTCAGGAACAATGATGTTGCTTTCCCGCTGATGATGGACCGCTATCTCTCTTTGTATTGTGGAGTTGGCTACTTGTATCCACATAATTAGTATTTAATGATGGTGGGGCACTGATTGTATTTCAGTAGAAGATCGATAACGAAAGAACGGAAACGAAATGCAGTTGGCATGAAAATGCATGTGCAATAATATTTGGAGACTATGAACTGATATTCTCAGAAGGAACAGTCAAGATTAAAACAATTGATTGATTGTTTGCAAATTAACTTTTTTACTGTATAGTTATCAGAATAAAGTGAGATATTCTGTAACACATTCGATTGTCCCCACTCGTGTTCTTTTCACTAGGGTATCAGATGTGTAATACTGCACTATAAAGGTCATCCATCTTTTAAAGTAAATTTTTGGACAATTTCGCTCATACGTCAAGGCTTTAGACGTCACTATTTGTTACTAGTTGAAGTCTCACCTTCTTAAATAGCTAAATTGATGACGACCTTGGCAGTTTCATCAATTATTTAATACAGAGGAGAAGCGGTATGGGACCCAAGGCTATGTATAACGTAAGAACTCATATTAACGTCCTGTTTAACGTGAGTTTGTCATAGCGCACACGAAGATTTTTCAATACCGAACCGTGTTGCGTCCAATACTCTGGTCTTTATAGTTTCACCTCACAAGTCCACGATGAGATTACAAGTCCAACGTTATGTTCAACTTGACAAATATCACATGAAGGAGGCTAATCTTCTTGAGGTTCTACATAACATCTCTAAAAGAAAACGTTGTCCCTACATAAGGGTTTAGTAGGAAAATAATTTTGACTCAGCACCAGTATATTCGTGCCCAATCAGTTTGAAAATCCTCTACATGACACAGCGTCGGACGATAATGATATGCAGGTATTTTGAAAGGAAATGGCCTAGAGTTAAAGACAGGAGACGATGACTGCGATATATATATATATATATATATATATATATATATCACAGAATACGAAGGCGGACAAACGTGAAACTTCTGAGATAGCTGAAACCTCAGCAGTCCATGGAATGATTTGGTAACACGTAATAATAATATATTCTGAAAATTATAATTACAGAATTCACACCAGTTTACAGACATGAAAAATTTGATATAAATAACAAAATTAGATGTAGAGAAAAAACATGTGATACAAGATTGTTTTAAGTTTGCTAGTTCAGTAACTGTTAAGTAGTTTATTTATGACATGTATCACGCTAATCCAATCCATCAGCAGGAAACTTTTAATTTTTTTTCTTAAGTGGACAGTCTTATGATTTATGAACGGTGTGCTTTAATGTTATTTCCAGTGCCTGGACGAATTATTGATAACTATCTACAACTAGAGAAAGTAGAATTAAAACAGTGAGCAAGGAACAACAAAGCAATGATTGTCAAAATATGTTGGTCAGGTTTACCGCTGTTCATGTTAGATATTATTCAAATAAGTTAAGGTTGCAAGGAACAGTGTTAATGTAAAGTGACAGCAGGTAAGTGATTTAACACTTAAAGTTCCTATAAGTAAGATACGCTTACAGGCGCTAGAACAATTAATGCATTTTCAGAGGAGCAGTATGCATCAATGCAGGGAACAAACAATGGGAGAGATTTTATCGTACGGATAGATTGTGATGGATTATTCCAGAGTCTAGAAAACTCACAAGTAGAATAATTCATAGAGAGATTATTTAGAATGGGTATTTTCGCTAGTGACAAGCAGTTACGGATGTCGTAATGAGAAGTTTCTGCATATTGAATTTCTTGGTTGGATGCAGAGGATGGTTTATTAAATATTTTGAGGAATAAGATTTAGTTTGCGTTTCCTCTTCCTTAAAGGGTCGAGCCCAAGTTTATCACATCTAGAATTATAAGTCAAGGTACAATCAGTTAAAAGAATACGAAGTGTAAATCCTCTCTGTACTGATTTCAGCCTCAATTTATCCTTTATGCGCACACTACTAAGAATAAACGCGCAGTGTTCAAGGAGTTGTCGAACACAAACTTTGTACGTTAAAATACGTTATTCATTGTTAAAAAAGGTTTTGAGTTATGTAACCTATAAGGCGTTGAGACTTGGAAGTCTGTCTCGTCATCTGTTCTGTAAACGACAAGTCGTAGGAGTACCAAGGTCGTAAGCCTACTACCGTGTGTAACCTAGATAACGCCTCACCATCTATGGTAAAATGTAAGTTGAATGATGTATTGCCGAAGCATAGCCATCCACATTTAGCTGTAGTAAGCTCCAGTTGCCATTTCGAGCACCACTGTGCTACCTTGTTAAGCTCCGTGCTGATGCAGTTTTGAATATTGCTCAGCTCATGTGGAGCAAATGAATACACTACTTTAAGAACATCTGCGTACAAAAGGGGCTTACCTACACAAAGACACTCACAAATATCATCGATAAAAACCAAAAAGAGCAAAGGGCCTAGGACACTTCCTTGTATTACACCACTTCTAACAGGGACGGCGTTCGACAAAGAAGAGTTAATTTTAACTATTTGATGTCGGTTGCTGAGGAAGCAATCATATCAAGCAGGCAAAGGATATTAAACCCTATAAGATGCGGGTTTATCAATGAGAAAATGGCGGTTAACCATGTCAAAGGCTTTAGAAATATCTAGGTATAGAACTAATATTAGATATCTTTGGCTACCTAGAGAATAGACTAAGTTAAAGAAGTCAAAAAGACATGTTATACAAGATAGATTTTTAAGAAATCCAAGTTGCATATCACTGATGAATTTTTCAGTCAGCAAATAGTTGTATATTTCGTCACTAATAATTTTTTCCATAATCCTAGGGATAACTGAAGTGATATTTATCGGCCAACCATTGTTCATGTCAGTCTTATCTCCAGATTTGTAACGTGGTATGATGTACGCGGTCTTCCGACAGTAATGATAGGAACCTGATTCCATAGAGAGAGTAAACAGCTTAAGGAGAAGAAGTGGAACATCTGGATTAGCATACTTGTCGAGAAATGATGAAATCCCGTCTGCTCCGTGACCTCTCGGAATCTTATGGCTATTTAAAGCCTTAATAATTTTCAAGCATATGAAGGTGATAGATTTCATTGAGTATCTAGTCACCCATACGACTCTGGAAATAGCGCCATTTATTAAATCTTTGTCATTTGCAAATTTATCACTGAAAAGGTCTGCTATAGTTTTAGAGTAGCATATAAAAGTTCTGTTATGCAGGATGCATGGTATATCGATATTTTGAGTTGATTTAGCGCGTTTATTGAAAAGGAGAATTACGTTTTGTACTTTTGAACTAGTATTAAATGCTAATAGCTCCTCATTACTTGCTTTTAACTTAAGTTTGTCATTAATTGGGTTAAAAATTATTGTTAATTGTGCAACTGCCGTGAAGTCGTTTGAATTAAAATGACGTTTCTGTAGGCGTCTTAGTTTATCACGATATTTAGCTGGTATATATAATTCGTGAGGTTTACTAAACCTGTACGTTTTAATTGGTGCACATGAGTCTAGACAAGAGTTAACAATCAAATAGAATATGTTGATGGCATCTGTGAGACTATTATATGAAAAAAATTCACCCCAGTCTGAGAGTTTGATCAGCGAGCGCATGAAATCCCAGTGAGCATGCTTATAATCTCTATATTGACAGGTTTTTTTGAATTGGTCGGTTATAAGAAGGATAGATAGGGAGAACACAAGCTACTATCTTATGGTCACTGCTTCCAAATTTATTGTATACCTCCACAGATAGTGGGATGACATTTCTACTAAATATTAGATCAAGTATATTATCACCCCTTGCTTGGGTACGAACCCACTGTGACAATCAGTGCAGGTCAAAGATTGACGAAAATTCATCATTACTTGACTGACAACTACCGGTACTCCAGTTAATCCCGGGATAATCGAAATCTTCAGTGATAACCCTAGCTTTGAAG